AAAGTACCTGACCCTTCAGGGGAGGTGGTAGTTCATAGAACTGCAGCAGCAGCACATCAGCACACTGACCAGGAAGAAGAAGGGCTGTGTGTTGTACCCTCAAAGAGAGAAGTTCTGGAACAAATGGTTGCTTTTTATATCCTCTCTCCCTTCTGCCTCCTTTCTTTAGTCTTTTACTGTGGCCATCACCATAATCTCCCTCAGCGTCAACTGACTTTTGCCCTTGAGGATAGCCCTGGAATAGCAGCTTGCTGCCCAGCTTGATACCTCCACTCTCTCATCACAGCATTCTTCAAAGCCACTGACTTACTCCTACTATTAGATCACAGTAGGCAAAAGCGCCTCAACCTTAACGACAGATCTTCTTTCTTGTCTGTTTGGTCTCATTCCACTCTGCTCTTTTCTTCCCCAGTCTCGATATTCCCTTCCTGCCACAATCCTCCCTTGCGTTGATTGACCTCCCCATCCACTTATGATGTTTGCCAACTGCCTGTTATTGAAATGCCTGTTCGTTTATAAAATGTCTGTGCCTCCTCTCCAAAAAACCCTACACAAGGCAGCAGGTTTTTTTGACACAGGTAGCATATGTCATAAAATGACATATGGCTCCTGAGCTACTGAGTGAGTGTCACTGGATCTTCTTTGCGGTCTCTGTGCAGATCACACATTGGGTTTTGCACTCTCTCCAGACCCTCTCTGGGAAGCTTCACCAGCTTTGAAGACAGATCTCTTGTGGGTGAGGTCTGCCTCAGCTCTGGGGAGCAGGCATCCACTGAGCATGCTTAGAACAGAGGTAAGCCCCGCCCTTCCATCCAATTCCTTCTTTACCACCTGTCAGTTGGACTTCCCCCCTTGCTCTCAGTGACAGCCTCGTCTTTGTTCTGTTACCTTAGTAAACCATTACCATAATAGAGCAGTCTGTTCTACAGTTGTGTGAACCACAGTGTTTCTAAAGCCTCAACTGGTGTATGGAAGTTATACTGTACTTCAAATGCTGTTCGAACTGTAACACGAAAATTCCACCTACTGATGGCCACAATCAATGCTTACTGTGTCTGGGGGAGAAACATAGAACTGACTCCTGCCAGCACTGTGCTAAATTCACTAGGCAGGCGAAAAAGAACAGGGCAGCTCGCCTCAGGACATTCCTGCTTGAACAGTCATTAACACCAAATATGGCTCAAGCTTCCATCACACTTATGTTGCCACCTCCCCCTTCTAAAGAGCGGGGAGATTCAGCAGTACAAGGTTGCCTAAGAAAACTAAACATGACAAGGGGAAGAAATGGCCATTGGACATGGCCCCAAGTTCATCTAAGTCAAAGAACCCGAAGTCTGTTGTTGTTGTTGTTCAGTCGCACAGTCGAGTCCGACTCTTCGCGACCCCATGGACCATCTCCCGCCAGGCCCTCCTGTCTTCCGCAGTCCTCCGAAGTTGGCTCAATTTCATGTTCGTTGCATCGATGACACTGTCTAACCATCTCATCCTTTGCCGTCCCCGTCTTCTTTGACCTTCAATCTTCCCAGCATCAGGGTCTTCTCCAGTGAGTGCTCCCTTCTCATTTGGTGGCCAAAGTATTTGAGCTTCAGTTTCATTATCTGGCCTTCCAGGGAACAGTCAGGGTTGATTTCTTTGAGGATTGACTGATTTGTTCTTCTTGCAGTCCAAGGGACCCTCAAGAGTCTTCTCCAGCACCGGTCTACCCGTGCCCCAAAACCACCAATGGTCTCGAAATCTTCAGATCCTTCGGGACCGACAACAGTGGAGCTGATCATCTTATCAGGACTCTCTACCCAGTCCCCATTGGTGAAGGTTGGGGGAATGCAGCCAGACTCACAACTGATTCCCTCAAATGTGCTGCAGGGTCTAGGCCACGAAATATCTAAAGAATCTTGGTCAAAGATCTGGAAATCTGTAAAATATAAGAGGGCAACAAATTATAGAGAAAATGTATTTAAGATGTACCATAGATGGTACTGGTCCCCAGAAAGACTAGCCAAATGTTATCCAAACTGCTCAAATGTTTGTTGGAAATGTAAATTAAATGTAGGAACCTTTTACCACATGTGGTGGCGATGTAAAAAAATCCAGATATATTGGAAAACTATACAAAAACTTATAGAGGAAATTTTGAAAGTAAAATTGGAAATAGTACCCGACATATTTCTACTTAATGTTATGCCAGATAAGCTATCTCTCAATGAAAAGTATGTAATTGCGTATGTAATAACAGCAGCAAGAATACTCTGGGCCAAACATTGGAAATTAGATTGTGTACCCAGATTAGATGAAGTAACAAGTAAATTGTTGGAAGTAGCGGAAATAGACAAATTGAACATGTACCTACAAGGGAAAAACGATGAAGATTTTCTAGATAGATGGGTAGGACTGTATAAATGGTTGGAAAAAAAGAGTGGACTCTGAAAATATATGTAAAATGAACAAAAGTATGTAAAACCTTAAAATAAATTTTTTTTAAAAAAAAATGTGCTGCAGGGTCAGGAGCAGACATCGGAACTTCAGCCTCAGTCATTTATCTCAGTTTCTCTGTTGCTCATACTAGCGGAAGACAACTGCATTTTGAGATGCTCCTCGACACCGACCCAATGCTTGGCAAGCTCACCAAGAGGAAGGGCCCGGGAAATCCAAGGACAGAGATCCCCTTCTGGGTCTGGCTGCTCAGCAAGTGATTGCTCAGTGTGGTGCTCCATGGACAGTGGAAGTGAACATTATCGCCCCCTGTGATCCCAACATCCAAACTACCGTTGTGGTAGCTGTAGCCACTCCTACTATGGGCGACTCTACTCCAGATCTCTGGGATGGGGGGAGCATTATAGACATGACAGGTCCCGATCCCGATCTAGGTATGACAGGTACTTTTTGCCAGGTATGACAGGTACTTTTCATCATGGAAACCCCACTCACTGAGATACTAGGACCATGCAGCACTCGATCACTGGCCTGACCGATGCCATACTGACTCTAAATCATTAGGACAGGCGGCTGCCTCTTCAGCTCCCGTGATCTTGGGTTTAGACAAGGGCTTGAATAATTTGGAAATGCCGATGGATCTAGACACACTATACCTTCACTCCCACATTGACTCTGAACTTAACTTGGAGGGTTCGATTTCACAGGTCGAAGAAAAAAGTGTGACTCCTACTGAGCCTGAACCAGATAAAGGACAATACCTATGCCCCTTGGAGAGTGCAAAGGGGTTTGTGGATTTAATTCAATGCATGGCCATTGGCATTAGGAATTAAACTTAGGTTGGTGGCCTCTCCAATTTCAGATGTCATGCATGACATCCAACAATTAGTGATAAAATCCTTTGCCTTGGTACTCCCGCTACTCTCAGTACACTTAGCGACATTACAGGAAGTATGGAGAAAACTGGCATCGACCCCAGCAATACCTAAGCAGTATGAAATCATGTATAAGGTAGTGTGTACTGACACAAAGTTCCCACAATCGCATCCTGAATCTTTCCTTAGAGGTCTCCTAAATGTACGTCCACCTTAGCATCCATTGGTCCCAACGTGGAACCTGTCTCTTGTTTTGGCTCAGATGACCAGAAAACCATTTGAGCCTATGGCGACGATTCTTCTCCAGCTAGTTTCATGGAAAACAGTGATACTGGTAGCCCTCACATCGGTACACAGGGCTAGTGAACTGTGTGCCATGAGAACAGACCCACCATACATGGTATTCCATCGAGATAAAATGGTACTACAGCCTGACCTTTCCTCCCTAAAGTGATATCGCCTTTTCACTTAGCCCAGACAATAACTTTACCATAGTTTTTTCCTGTACCAAAGGATGAGGGGCAAAGAGCATTACATATATTGGATGTTCGCCATGCCTTGGCTTTCTGTCTATCAAGGACACTATCTTTCCATAAGGATAACAGACTATTTGTGTGTTATGCGAATCCAAGGAAAGGGTTACCAGTTTCCAAACAATGTTTCTCTAAGTGAGTCTCCTCCGGAATTGAACTGTGTTATCAGCTAGTGGGGGAGAATTTGCCTTGCCCACCTAAAGCAGTGACAACTTTATCGGCATTTATGGCAGGGGTCTCTCTGGAAGATATTTGTGCTGTGGCAACATGGTCCTCACCTTCGTAATACATTACGCTCTTGATGTGAAAGCCCAAAGGGACGCTAAGTTTGGGCGAGCAGTCTTCAAATCCATTTTCCATTAAAACAGTTGTACTGAAAATAGTAACAACAATACTGTGTTGCGACAGTTAATTCTGATGTTTGAAATTGCAAATCCACAAAGTTTGTGTACAGTTGACATTGCATGAGTTATGTTTAGTCACTGAATACAATAGACCCCCTGGGTTACAAGGGAGAGGTTACTGTTTTATAATAAACTGATTATTTTTTCGTAAGTGATAATCTGTAGTGAGTCTGTTGACTTAGTTGTGTTTAATGGGCACTGTTATAAGATACGGTGTAGATGCCATCATCCACCATCCTTCAGAAGCTAAGCTCACTTGACACCCAATGTGTGATCTGCCCAGAGACCACGAAGAAGATAAACAGGTTGCTTACCTGTAACTGGTGATCTTTGAGTGGTCACCTGTGCATTCACACACCCACCCCAACCTTTCCCCACTGCTGGCATCTCCTGATTCATCACCTCAAGTTGTAGGAAACTACCGGGGGTGGAGGGAAGGAACTGGGTGGGTTGGGGGGGGAGGGTGGGGCTTGCCTCTGTTCTAGGTATGCTCAATGGATGCCTACTCCCAAGAGCTGAGGCAAACCCTGCCCACAAGAGGTCTGTCTTCAAAGCTGTTGAAGCTTCCTGGTGAGGGTCTGGCGAGAGTGCAGAACTCAATGTGTGACTGCACAGATGACCACTCGAAGATCATCAGTTACAGGTAAGCAACCTGTTTTTTACAGTGTTATATAAATTAGTAATTACCACAGTTTAGTTACTTAAACACTTTATGTTTTGCATTCCTATTTTTTCCACATTTTGGATTATGGCTGTAGGAAAGAGTACTGTTACTGCAGAAGCTACCTTGAGGTTTATGAAGATGGCATTCAGCTATGAAGAATGGGATGCATTTGATCAAACAGCTGGATTATTTTTTACTTTTATTAAGGTAACCTAATGTAATGTATCAAAATAATGTAATTTACATTTTTTTAATAAATTGAGGCCCATATAAAATCTCTTTATTTCTCTAAATATTTATTAGAGTCAAGATAATTCATTATGGAAGAAGGCAGAAGCAGAACTCAAATTACTTCTTATCATGCAGTCTTTACTATCTCCAAGAAAACCAAGGCATAATTTGTGTGTCCAAGAAAATAATATCAAAGATGTAGTTTTTGCTCGAAGTACACGAAGAAAATCCATTGCATTTCAAGGTGTGTGGTTGTTTTAGTTATCTGTCAGCTGAAATCTATATATCTAATAGCCAAGTTGCCCCCTCTGTGCGGATATCTAAATCCACACATCGGGGGCACATAGAGGGCAGAGAGATTTTCCTTCCCACTTGGGGCAATCCCCAGGTGTGCAGAAAAATCTGAAAAGTTTAAAAAACTATAGGGGGTATACTTAAATCCCCCCAAGAGTAAAAAAGCATTCCCTGCACATGAGCAGAGAACGCACTTACCCCTGGGATCTGTGGCAGAGCCACGCAGTGCTCACTGCAGTTGGTGCTGGCGGTGGCAGCGGGGGTGGAGAAGCGGTGGGGGTGACAGCTAGGAGCCACAGCCGTTGCCACTGTCAGAGACGGGGGGAGGGAGAAGCCTGGCAGGCCCCGCAACCAGGAGCTGAGCCAATTGTTGCCGCGGCGGTGGGGGAGAGAGAGAAGCCTGGTGCACCTGACAGCTCACAGCCGCACAGGGCTTGCCACTGTTGTTGTGGGTGGCAGTGGCGGGAAGAAGCCTTGGCAGCCCGGGAGCTGTGGGGAATACACCAACCCCACGAATATCGCGGGTCCTGCTTCTTGTAGTTTATATTAGTTAGTGACTTCATTAAGAGATTTTAGTATAAGATCAGAAGAACATTTTTATAAAGTACTTTCTATGGTTTCTTGTAACCATAATAAAAAATAATACTTACTGCTTGACATTTCCCCAAATATGACTAACACTTAAATCTACAATATTTACAAATGCAGCTGATAGTGTAATGCTGTTGAAGTGTTGCTGTATTAGTCCAGGTGACATTGTACCACTCCCAGTGTTCCCTCTAAGCTAAGTTAGTGTGAGCTATCACAGTATTTTAGCCTCTGGCTCACACATTTTTGCCTTAGCTCAGGAAGGATGGCTCCAGAGCAAACTAATTTATGCAGCAGCCAAATTGCTCGCTCACAACTTTAGTGCCAGTAGCTCACAAAGTAGAATGTTTGCTCACAAGACTCCACAGCTTAGAGGAAGCGTTTATTTCCCATCCAAAGTACACAGCCTGACTGCTATTTAGCAGGAAGAAGAGTAGGGGGAATTACTATTTTCTGTACATTTCTTGTAGGCAAATGATTTCTTTTAATGTCATCTGACACTTAAAAATCATGATTTTTGAAGATTTTAAATGATCACATTTTCTCTGCCACATTTAAATATTATCAGTGGAGAATGCACTTTATTTTCACTACTCTTATTTCATAGGTTGAAATTTCAACTGATGCAGTTTTAAGTTTAATTTAAACTGTATTTTATGAAAATTACTGTTTTAAATCAAAAAATTCCTCCCTTCTCCCTCTGTCAACAAATTACAACTGTACAAGCATCAGGAAAAGCCGGAGAAACTACTGATGATCTTTTTCGGTTGGCAAGGATGCTGTATTCTTGCATCTGTAAAGAGGTATAGTAAAGTTGTGACCATTGTTGTATGAAGTATTTGGGGGTCATATGCTCAGTTAATTAAATTAAAATAAGATGTGTGTTGCTACAAAAAGTCGTATATAAATATTATATAAGTTTTAGAAAGTTGATATCTTTTTCTTTTAGAAAGGCAACATAACTTTAGAAGGCAACATAACTCTTCCAAAGAAAAATAACCCCACCTGCAAGTAGGGGAACAGATGTTAGTACTAAACAACTAAAGAAAGTACTAAAGAAGCAAGAACTTATCCCCAGAAATGGTGTAGCAGCAGCAGCAGCAACAGCTGGTGCTTTAGCTTTGCAGAGAAGGGCACTTGCAGGATTTAAAGGCCATTTGAGTTTTCTGAAATGCAAACTGCCAAAGGAGAAAGACCCCCTGTTTGTTTTATTTTATTAAAAATGTGAATTTGTTACAATATTTTATATTAGTTTTCTGCCATACACTTAAAGTAGTTTCCAGATACACAACTAATACCATAAACATTGAAACCAACAATAGAGTCAAACAATTAGCACAGCAGCAGGTCAGTTTCCAAAAGGCCTTTAAGATAATTCAGACTTTTATTTTTCCTAAAGATAGCCAGAGATGACATTTACCAAACTTTTCTAGACAGCCCATTCCAAAGCTGAAGCAAAGCTGTGTGCTGAAACGTAATCCTGACTAGACAGAAGTTCTCTGGGTTAGTTGTGTCCCAGCCCCCACCGGGAGGTCCCGGGAGCAGGGAACTCCAGCAATGAGGCAGCAGCCTGGAACCTCCCCCTGCCTTGCTACTCACCTGGATGAGGGAGGCGGCCAGCGGGGAAGACGGCAGAGTGGCGAGGAGGCAACAGGAGGACACAGCAGCCTTCTGGAGCAATGGCAAGGACACTGGGAGTGCCCCTGAGGAGCGGAGCAGGTTGCGGGGAAGAGGTGTGGCTGCCGGGCGAGCGAGGCCCGGGCCATGGCAGAACTTCCGAGGCTGGCCCACAATGGGCCAGGAAGAACAGCTGCCCACAGCAGTCAGGCTGGGGCTGGGAGAGTCGCGGCAGAGCCAAACAGGTGGTGGAGCAAGGCCCGGACCTCCGGCAGTCATCAGGAGGGCGGGGGAGGAGGAAGTGGGCTCTGCGTCTCCAACTTTAATTGGGGGAGGGGCCATGAGGGCAGAAGCTACAGAGGAACGAGGGGGTAATAAAAAGGGAAGAGAGGAGACGGCCAGGGAGGAAGAAGACTGGGTTGGCTGGGGCATAAGAGAGAAAGAAAGAGAGAGAACGGGCCCCAAATTGACTGGAGACACGGCAGAAGGCCAGAATCCCAGGACAGGATTTAAAGAGTGGTGGTGCAACCCTCTGAACAACCCGTCTTCTGAAAGCGACCGCTTTCTCCCTCTTCAACTTTAAGGCCTCCCTCGGCCCTTAGAGTTCTGCCACGAAGGTGGGAACCCACATACTCTGGGGTTCCAAGGCCAGCACTCACTGCAGCCGAGACGGCCAGGGGTGGCCAGCCAACAGCGGGCACCAAAGGGCATGACGAGTAGAAAAGCAGACCATCCTTTATTTTAGATGGGGATATACTTCCCTTGAAAAGCTGAGTTCGCAGCTTGGGAGTACTGCTTGACACAGCAGTCACCTTAGAAAGCCAGGTGGCTGCTATGGCTTACAACTCGTTTGCCCAGCTCTGGCTGGTGTGTCAACTGCACACGTTCCTGGCTCAGATCTAGCCACAGTAATCCATGCCTTAGTTACATCTAGGATAGACTATTGCATTGTTCTCTACTTTGGGCTACCCTTGAAGAGGGTTTGGAAGCTGTAGCTAGTTCTAAATGCTGTGGATAGACTGCTGGTTGGAACCAGCTATCCAGGTGCATATGTCCCCAGTACTACAACAATTACACTGACTACTAATCCTCTCCTGAGCTCAATTCAAGGTGTCGGTTCTGTCCTTTAAAGTCCTGCATGGATTGGAACTAGGTTATCTGAAGGACTATCTTCTCCCATCCATTCCTTTTTTTAAAAATTAAGTTTATTTATAGTTTTTCAGTATAAAATACATAGAATTTCTACATACATCTAATAGCTTTCCAGATTTACGGGTCCATTATTTACATTTTTCTTCTATCCATTTATACACATTCAACCATCTTTTTTGGAAAATCTTTTCATCCCTTTCCCTGTAATATTGTATTAAATTTATCCATCTCTGCCACTTACAACATTTTTTTAACAATTTCTTCTCTTAGAGGTAATTTCTCTAACTTCCAGTATTTAGCTACTAAAATTCTGGGTGAAGTTAGGATATTAGTCAATAGGTATATATAATTTTGTTCTATAACATTCGGAATTATATTTAATAGATTTCTGGTAGTAGTTCTAACTCAATATTCACTATATCTAAAATTATTTTTTTAACAATTTGCCAAAATTTGTATATTTTCCCATACCTCCACCACATGTGAAAAAGTGTTCCTATATTCTTTTTACATTTCCAACAATTTCTTGAAACCGATTTATAGCATTTGGCTATTTTATCAGGTGCCCAATACCATCTGTGGAATATTTTATAAATATTTTCTTTAAAGGACGTTGCTCTCATTAGTTTCATCATCTTCCATATTTTAGACCAGTCTTCTAGCTGGATAGTATATCCAAAGTCCTGCATCCAAGCTATCATTGTGGTTTTTACTGTTTCATCCTGTGTATAATCTTCTAAAAGATAATTGTATATATTTTAATAAGTTTATTATTAGATGTCAGCCATATTTTGTCCCAAGCAGACTTTGACGTGTAAAATCCAGTTATTTTGTCTTTATTATATCTTGATTTTAATTGTGTGCTTTCCCACCTCATTGTCAGTCTTCAGGAGTCCGTTGAAGACATTTTTCTTTGGAACTGGATTTTGGTTGATTTAGCTTTCATTATTGGCAGTCCTAATGGGAGTTTTTAAACTGTGACTATGGGTTTTATGATACTTGTTTTATAGTGTTTCTATAGTGTTTCATTCGTATTGTTGGCCACTTTGAGTTTTGCAAGGGAGAAAGGCAGCTAATAAATGTTTTAAATAAAATAATAAGTTCCAGGCCATTTAAAAGTTAAAACCAGCACCCTGAATTTAATTTGGAAACAAACAGCTGTGAATGAAGGTGTGTTAAGATCTCAGTAACATAGCTGAATCTGCTAGCTGCCATTAGCAGCTGCATTTTATACTAATTGACGTTTCTGAGTTGTTTTTAGAGCCAGTTGCATGTAGAGAGTGTTATAGTAAGTATGGTAAGAAGGATCACCCTAGCTAGACTGGCTATATCCAGTGCAAGTTTTCAAGCTACATGAAACTGAAGAAAAGTCTTCCTAGCCTACCTGCAAATTTCTCTGGATTCTTAACTTAATCTACCGAAGCTATAAGTGGTGGTAAATTTACCCCTTTCCGTTCTTCAGTTAAAATTGACTTAACAGTTTCTGGTTGCCAGCCAGTGTTTGGTGTAAAAGTAACAACCTTTGGTTGGTTGTTGTGTTGGTAGTAATCAAAAAGTTTCCGTAGGAGAAGCAGAGCAGAGTGAGTTAGTTGGGACCTGGTGTGTGTGTGTGGTGTGCCAAAGGTCCTTTTAAACTTTTATTTAAAAGAACATCCAGAGTTTCAGCGTGGGTTGTCACCAATATGCGGATGACATCTAACTTTATATTTCATTATCCAATCATCTGGAAGCAGGTGTGACAGTCCTAGGCAAGTGTTTTGAGGTTGTAGTCAAGTGGCTGAGGGAAACAAACAAAAGCTTTATCCATACCTGATAGGAGTGATATTTAGTAGATTAAGTTAAGAGCTTGAGGCTGCTCTTGGACCCAGCCTTGTCAATGGGTAAACAGGTTGGTGGTGTTGACAGTAGCATCTTCTTACAGTTACATCAAGCTACAGAGTCTGCCTGTCAGCTGTGCTGATCTGTGCTATCTGACTGGGCTACTGTTAGGTGCTCTGTGTGGTGTTGCTTTTGAAGATGTCTCAGAAGCTTCATTTTATACAAAATACAGTGGAAAGTCTCTTGTCTGGCATCAACTGCTTGAAATGTAGATTGACTCTAGTTCTGCATCAGTTCGCTTTTTGCTTCTCGGCTCAATTCCAAGTGCTAATTATTACCTTCATGGCCTAGAGCCCTCATACTTACCAAACTGCATCTCTCAGTGTACCCTCATGTGCCAGCTATGTTCCTCAGACAGCCTTGTCCTATGACATTTTCTAGCCCCGAGCCTCCTTCAGTGGGGAGGGCGGGGTATAAACAGAAGCAGAAGAGATTAGGAAAAGATGGCAAGAATACACAGAAGAACTATACAAGAAAGACCTCGATGTCCTTGACAACCACGACGGTATAATCACTGACCTCGAGCCAGACATCCTGGAATGTGAAGTTAAATGGGCCTTAGAAAGCATTGCTAACAACAAAGCTAGTGGAGGTGATGGTATTCCAGCTGAGCTATTCAAAGTCTTAGAAGATGATGCTGTTAAAGTGCTGCACTCCATTTGCCAGCAAATTTGGAAAACGCAACAGTGGCCACAGGATTGGAAAAGATCAGTATACATTCCAATCCCAAAGAAGGGCAACGCCAAGGAATGTTCAAACTATCGCATTGAGCCAACTTCGGAGGACGGCGGAAGACAGGAGAGCCTGGCGGGAGATTGTCCATGGGGTCGCGAAGAGTCGGACTCGACTGTGCGACTGAACAACAACAAATGGTAGAAATAGTCCCTTGGAAATGGTTTATTAGAGTGGTTGCTGAAGGGAAAGTATTTCCTGTATTCACAAAAGTATGAAACCCAGTTGTATTTCAGAGAGCATTTGGTGTGTGTGTGTGGGGGGGTAAACTGGAGGCAGATCTGGCAGGTTTTTTTTGTTGTGTGCTTTTATCTCGCTAATGGACTACTACTTGTTTAAATGTTTTTGTATATTGTTGCTTTATTAGCTTCTTTGACTCTAAGAAGGTGGAATATAAGTGTTTTAAATAAATAAATAAATTGAAGCTGTTTCAGAGCAAATGGGAAAACCAGTTGAAGGGAGAGTCATGGTTCCCTCTGCCAGTGACATTAGTTCCTGGAGGTGAGCAGTGGTGACACGATGAGTAAATGTGTCAACTACTACTCCAATAGGATGTTCCCATTTCAGACATGCATGGCATGTAAACATATAGGAATAACCACAATTCTAAAGTAATGCAAGGATCAGGCTTTCAAAAAAAGGGCAAAATACAAATTGATGTGTGTATTCTACCATGGCCAATTAATCAGTACTTGTTTATGAAATTGTTGGAAAAAATGCTTTTTTCTCAGAGCCTCCAGCTAGACAGAGAAATGGTAATAGACGCAACAATGTTTTTGTGGCAAAAGTGTAAGGCAGGAATTCAGAAGATCCTAGAGAGTGGAAACAACTACTTGAAGACTGCTCGTAAATACCAAACCTCCAAGGTAAAACTGCATGTTGTTTGCCTATTTATCTACAATTGTTTATGATGTTATAAATAGGGATGGGCTCGAATCAGGAAAATGAGGTTTGGTTCATGATTCATAGTGTACTGGGTTCCAAACCATGAACTGTCACAAACTTTTAGCCTCCAAACAAACCATTTTGGTTTATGAAGTTTGTAATGCAGTAGAATGACCCCCACCCTGGCATGCCAGACACCAAACTCACAGGAGATGCTTGGCTAACTCTCCTCCAGCTGCCCTTCAAGTATGGTAAGGATTGGATTTACAGGGTTCGAGCTACAGCCCCCAACAGAGGTGCCCCCAGGTAAGTGCTTTCTGGGGAGATTACAGGAACAGGTTCAGGAGGTTCAGGAGTGTATAGAACGGATCCTGTGCCAGCTAGAGACATCAAAGTCTCAGGGAACTTCCCTTGGATGGTATTCTACATGCCCCCCAGGTTCCGCCACTTGTTGCTTTGAAGTTCGGTTAATATTTAGATTGAGCAGAGACAGTCTGTCTGGAAATGTATCCATTCATGAACTGCCATGAACTGCTTGAAAGTTCATCCTGGTTGACCTGCCATGAACTTGAATTCGTGAACCATGAACCAGCCAGAATTCTTCGACGTGGTCTCTTTGCTTCTCACCCATGGGATTCAGTGCGCATGCGCTGGATCAATTGGCATTGTAGCAAGCTCTTAACGGATTTTCGCGCCCAGACCTCGGGCATGCGCAGGAACCCCACCACGCATGCCCAGAGGGGTGGGCATGGACATCCCCGCCAGTTCCTTTCTTACCGCCGTGCTGGAAACACCTTCCTTTAGTTGATCTGATCAGTACAAATTTTGCCTCACAGGCTCTTCGGATTTTTCCTGAGTTTTCTTTATTTTTCGCTTCTAATCTTTGTTTCTTCGTTCTTTACAAAAAAAAAAGACTTTTCTTTTGGTTAAGGGGGAGGTTTTTTCGTTTACCTCACTTTTTCTCTTTCCTCACTTGCGCCTTCCCCCCCCCCCCCCCCCTGTTTTCTTCTCCTTTTTTACTTATTTTATGGAGAAGAAGGGATTTTCAATAAAGTATAACCTTTCTGATAAGCGTGTACTCCGTTGTTGGCTGTGGAACCTGACATTCTGTTAAGAATGGCGTTGCCCCTACAAGCATAATGGGATATAGGGCATTCGTATGCACCCCCCCTTCCATAGGCCAATTAGCCATATTCTCACACGCGGAAGAAGGAGCCCCAGACTGTTAAATTCAAAGCTGGGAACTGATAGCGCTCTCACGGTTTTCCCTTAGTGCCAGACACTACACCACCTGCACATCTTAGAGATAACAGTGTTACAGCATAGATGAATCACCGAAGGAATGCAGCAGTAATTGGTACAGAGAAAAGGGAAGCCTCTGCCCTCCTGAACCATCATGGCAGCGTAGCTGACACATTGCAAGGGTTGCGGTAGTAAGCTCGCTCCACCTGACCGCCATACCCTTTGCATTTTTTGTTTGGGAGAGACACACCGACCAGAGTCTTGTCGGCACTGTGCCAGGTTTTCTAACCAAACGAGAAAAAACCGAGCGGCACGCCTCAGAGTAGCGCTACTGGAGTCAGCATTACATCCTCCCTCAGCTATGGATTCGGAAAAACCATCGACATCGATGGCTCCGGCATCGAGGCCCTCCTCCAACATTGGCCAATCCATGTCGAAGCCTCCGGCATCGAAGGCACAGTCTTCCGCTTCTACTCCAAAGAAGAAGCCGAAGTCCAGTAAGGAGCACAAGTCCGCAAAAAAGGGCTCCTCTAAGTCCCTAAAGGCAGCGAAGATGGGAAAGTTAGCAGCGTCTGCACTGGGTAATGCCCCTAACATGCCCCCCCACTCCAACGGCAGTATCGGCATCGGAGACCCATGCTGCTCCACCGATACCGATCATCCAACTTTTGAACTCTCCTATACACCAACTCGAGCGTCCTTTCTCTGATATCGAGACTGCTGAGCTCCTTAGACGCCCCCCCGGGCGCAGATCGCTCTCCTTCCCCGTCATCGACATCAACAGTCTTCAAGGCCCATGCCGATATCGGTACATGTCGGAATCGGCACATTTCCATCAGCACTCAGCATCACCCTCCACGTCTGTTTCCTGACACTTTCGATATTGATGAGCGAGTTTATAGGGACCGCTCACAAAGGGCGAAATACTGCACTGTCTCCTGGATGCTCCCGCTCCAAGAGTCGATCTCCTCGAGTCTTTATCCCCCCACCACCACCTCTGTCGTGGGATCATCGCCAACTGAGGTATCTCTATGGGGCTTATCCACCATCCATGCCGTGGTTGACTTCGGCAGCCTATTCTGACTGGGATCATTACTCGACCCACTCTGCCCACAGATCAAGGTCACCCCATAAGTCCAGACCCTCAGCATCTCTCTCTCACCCTCCGAATCACCCGGCCAAGGATCCTTCGCAGCATAAACCGGGACTCTACCGTCCTCCCAGCCCCCATGTCCTACCACCAAAGATTTTAAACAGCCAAGTTAAAACTATTCCGGTTCAATTGCCAGATCAGGACTCCTCGAATTCTGTAGATGAGGATTCTGATAGGGAGGCTTCAGAGGTCCATACCTCCCCTGACCACAAATCTCCTAACCAGGCAGTCGCAGATGACCAGCCCATATCTCCATCCGACAATCTCACTTCTTATGCAGACCTCGTCAAAAGAATGGCCCCTTCTCTAGGCCTCTCAGTCGTACAACCACCACCACAGGTTACGGATACCATCTTCGATATCTTACAACTTGATACGTCAACTACCATAGCACTGCCCATGTCCACGGTCCTTCTACAGGCAGCGAAAACGCCATGGGAGAAACCCTCATCAGCCCCAGTATCAACAAGGTGCCTGGACCATATGTATAGAGTCCAGGAAACAGGAGCCGAATTTTTATTTGCCCACCCTCAACCAAACTCCATGGTAATTACCTTTTTGTCTAAATCCAAGAGAACACATTCTGCACCTCCTGACAGGGAAAGTAGAAAACTAGATTCGTTCGGACGAGCGTTGGGAGTGAAGACTACGAATTACTTAGCCTGTATGAGCAGGTATCAGTACACTCTGTGGGAAAGGTTTTCTGAACTCCTGACTCACCTCCCCGAAGACAAGCTTCCTTCAGGCAGCCCGAATAATTCAGAAAGAAGGCATGGTACTTGCGAAGCAACAGATTAACACTTCCAAACATGCCCTAGACACTTCCTTGAGGACAATGGCCTCAGCAATAGCTCTAAGAAGGCACTCCTGGCTCCGTAACACCAATCTTCCACAAGATACTAGGACATATGTAGAAGACCTCTCTTTCGATGGCCTTGGTCTCTTCAACAGCACAATGGACACCATATTGCAAGATATGGATAAGAGCATAAAAGCTTCTCGCGCTCTAGGAGTTTCATCCTCCACGAGGCAACAATATCACCCTCGTCCTTGGTCTAGGCCTTGGCAGAAACGCACTCCGAAGGTCTAGGCCTTGGCAGAAACGCACTCCGAACTGTCAATCTCCTGACAGACAATGGAGGCCACGTACGTCTTCAGGGGGCCAAAAGCCCACCTTTCAAAAACCCAGGTTTGGATCGGGACAACAGTCCTCCCGCACTAAGCAGGCAAAGTCCTCCAAACAGGGTTTTTGACTTCTATATCTCCCAGTCGCATCCAACCCGTCTAACTCCCTTCCTCCACACCTGGCGTTACATCACCATGGACGAATGCGTGCTGTCCATCTTGACCAAGGGCTATCGCATAGAATTCCACCAGAACCCCATTACTCCTGTCTTCGTCTCCACACCCCCTTCCCCAGCTTTCCTGGAAGAAGTGTCTGTCCTTCTCCAGAAGGGAGCCATCGAGCTGGTGCCACTACATCTACAGGGCAAGGGATTCTACTCCCAATATTTTACCGTTCCAAAGCGAGATGGAGGCGTTCGACCAATATTAGATCTACAAGTGCTAAACTGCTTTGTGACCTACCACCGCTTCCACATGGTGTCCCTGCAGCAGATCCTGCCACTTCTCCAGAAGAATGTCTGGATGGCCAACGTCGACCTCCAAGACGCCTACTTCCACCTCACCATCCACCTGTCCCACTGTCAATACCTACGCTTCGCAGTTGGTCAACAGCATTACCAATATGCAGCCCTCCCATTCGGCCTCTCAAGTGCACCACAAGTCTTCACAAAGACTATGGTTGTTGTTGCAGCCTTCCTCCGTCTCACGGGCATCTCCATCTACTCGTACATCGATGATTGGCTCTTGGTAGCATCCTCCAAAAACGCCCTAATCTCAAACATCAACGAGACGTTGGTCCTCCTGGAAAACCTGGGTCTCCAAGTAAATCTAGAAAAGTCTCAACTTCAACCGGTCCAGAAAAAACAGTACATCGGTGCGCTACTGGATTCCAACAATTGCACAGCTTTCCTGCCACAAAAGAGAGCAGCAGACATCATACACCTAGCCACTGTCATCCGTACCCGGTCTTCAGTGACGGCCTTTCAAATTCAAAGGCTACTCGGCCTTATGGCTGCTACTACGTCAGTCCTGGTCTTTGCCAAATTAAAAATGTTTCACCTACAACTGTGGTTTATCTGCAACTTCGATCCAAAGGAAGACACACACACCACCCTCCTAATCCCATCTGCCAAAGTACGAGAGCCTTTACTTTGGTGGACTGTCCCTTCCAATCTGTTCCAGGGAGCACCTTTTCATCCTCCATCACCCCATATTACCATAACCACAAGCGCCTCCCTCTCGGGCTGGGGCACCCACATGATGGGACTTTGTGTTGGAGGCAAATGGGACACTCAGAAATGGAGGCGGCACATAAACTTCCTGGAACTGCTCGCGATACAGTTCGCTTTCACCAGTCCCCCCCCCCCGATCAAGGGAAAATGTGTCACGGTCCTCACGGACAACACCACTGCCCTCAGTTATTTGAACAAGCAAGGGGGCACTGTCTCCCTATGCCTTTGCAACCTCGCACTTCAGTTATGGGACTTCTGCATCACCCACAACGTCTTCCTAGTCGCCATGCACATCCCGGGACACATGAATTTCCAGGCAGACCACCTGAGTCGAGCAGGACTCAGTCTCCATGAGTGGGAAATGAATCCAACCTACCTTCTTCCACTTTTCCGCAGGTGGGGAGCTCCCCAAGTCTATGTTTTTGCCACCAGAGCGAACAAAAAGTGTCCTCTGTTTTGCAGCTGAGGTGGCAGGGACCCACAATCTCTAGGAGATGGTCTCCTCTGTCCTTGGTCCAGAGGATTTCTCTACCTCTTCCCTCTACTACCCCTGCTTCTGAGAGTAGTCCGCAAAATCATCAGCGACAGAGCAGACTGCATCCTCATAACCCCGTGGTGGCCGAGGCAACCATGGTTCTCAACCATCCTCGATCTGTAAGCGGGGGTCTACCACCAATTTCCTCCGGCACTGGACCTCCTGTTCCTAACCGAGTCCCCTCTCCTATACCACGACGTGCCACGGCTGAAGTTGACAGCCTGGAGAGTAGCGTCAACAGCTTTTCTGCCCGCGCAGCAAATGTTTTGCTAAATTTCAGAAAGCCCACTATGCAAAGATTGTACCTATACAAGTGGCAGAAATTCTGTTCCACCTTGGGTGACGATGCCCCTTGAGCCACCTCCGCAGGTCTCGAGGAAGTTTTTCAATTCCTTCTGTCTCTCGCTGACTCGGGACTTTCTCACTCCTCTTTAAAGGTTTATTTGGTCGCACTTTCGGCCTACCATGTTCAAGTTGAGGGATTCACACTGTTCTCGCATCCATTTTCAAAACGTTTTTTGAAGGGACTGTTGCACCTTTACCCTCCCATCAAAACTCCTGTTGTACTCTGGGACCTTCCCCTGGTCCTTCGCCAACTCACCAGGAAACCTTTTGAGCCGCTCGCAACTTCCGACATAAAATTCCTATCCTGGAAAACAGCCTTTCTGGTCGCTGTCACTTCAGCAAGGCGAGTTGGAGAAATACTGGCTTTCAGACATGACACTCCTTACTTGTCTTTTCTGCCAGACGGTGTCCGCCTTGTACCTGACATCTTGTTCTTGCCAAAGGTAGTGTCAGAATTCCACCTACAGGCAGAGGTCTTCCTCCCAGATTTCTTCCCGGCTCCAACATCCCCAGAGGAGAGGCTGTTACACACCTTGGACACGAAGCGTGCGCTCCTGTTCTACTTAAATAGAACCCGTTCAACAAGACGTGACTCTCAACTTTTCATCTCCTATGCGCCAGAAAGGTTGGGCACTCGCATCACGGCTCAGTGCCTATCAAGATGGATTGCAGGTCTCATCCACCTCTGCTACCTTATCGCCAAGCAGCCTTTGCCTGGCCCTATCAGGGCTCATTCAACCACAGCTGTTGCAGCCTCAACTGCCTTCCTCCAGGGAGTTCCCTTAATGGACATTTGCAGAGCTGCTACGTGGGCTACGCCTAACACATTCATAAGGCACTATGCCCTAGACGTCCGAAAGAACTCTAGTGCCAACATGGGACATCACATTTATCTTCGACTACACAGTAAGGACCTGCCAGCACCCTCCTCCAGGTAGGCCACTGCTCACTAATCTCCCATGGGTGTGAAGCACAGAGACCATGTCGAAGGATAAACAGGTTGCTTACCTGTAACTGGTGACCTTCGAGTGGTCATCTGTGCATTCACACCACCCGCCCACCTTCCCTGCTGCTGTCAGCTTCTAAATTTTACATAGGGGTTGATTCGCAGCAGTTCGAAGGAACTGGTGGGATGTCCGCGCCCACCCCTCTGGGCATGCGTGGTGGGGTTCCTGCGCATGCCCGAGGTCTGGGCGCGAAAATCCGTTAAGAGCTTGCTACAATGCCGATCGATCCAGCGCATGCGCACTGAATCCCATGGGTGTGAATGCACAGATGACCACTCGAAGGTCACCAGTTACAGGTAAGCAACCTGTTTTTCATGAACCAGTTTGTGTCCATCCGTAGTTATAAAATATTCATTAATACTCTGCCTTCTCAATGGCAATAGTAACAGTCTTGCCAAATGAATGTTACACATGCATGTGTGACTGTAACTTTTTACAGGGCCAATGCCTGTGTAGTCAGTTGAACACTTTGCATCTTTGTGGATGTGAATTTGTTTGCAGTGCAGCTATAGCAGAGACCTTGGTGAAATGGGTATTGACTAGTGTCTTGGATGGCACAGTATAGATGAGGGGATCCTCATCCCCTGTGACTGGTGTAGCAGGTTTGTGTGAGTAATTTGGGGCTCCTGGATACTGAAGATTACATTGTTGGTGGAATGTGAGATTCCTGAAGAGGGTATTTTCAGGATTTATGGGAATCTCATCTGCTGTATCCAATGAGTAACTTTTTGAAATACATGTGATCCACTCTGACTTGTCAGTCTATGGTGAGCTGAGTGAGTTATACCACAAGAGTTTGTTTTAGATTGGCAAAATATATTGGCAAGCAGCTCCTTTCACTCAGGTGTATTGTGTAGACAAGAGATTTCCCTCAGCACCCTGTGCACAGATTCCCTACCCCATTGGCTGAGACCTCTTGTTCCTCACGTTTGCCTTTAACTTTGTGGACTCAATGGCAGTGTAAGCTTTCTTTTCCATTCTTATATGTTTGTCCCAATTCCCTGTCAAAAGCTTCATTCTCATGTTACAAAAAGTTTGTTTGTGCAATTAAGGTTAGTTTACCAGATGTTAACTGACAAACCCTGCATTGTGTGTAAGCCTTGGTTTATCTTTCCTCTTTCTCACCTCCCAGAAAGGAGGGCATCCTCCCCGCCCTGCCAACTGTGTGTTCAGACAGCTGTGAAGAACATCACTATTCAGTAAACTTTGAATTCAAAAATTACAACAAACCATAGTTAACCAACCAGATGTAAAGCTTCCTATTAAAATACTGGTTTGATGCCAACCAACTCATTTGCTGTGTTGGCTTTTTTACATTTGGACTTTACAATAAACCTGGGGTTTGATCAAATCGTAACTTATAAGCCACATTTTATCATGATATTCACTTATTAAATTATGCAGTGAAGCATGGAATCTTTCCCTGCAAATTATTTTTATGTTATTTGGCAAGCAGATTGTTCATAATCTTTGCACATATATGTGTGTGATAAAACATATTCAAAATGACTTTCTTTTCTCTTTAGTGGGTTCATATACTTTATATTATTAATGAAGTAATTCACATGATTAATTTTGGAGATGCTAATGCTGTGGTGATGGCTGAAGTTGCCTTACGTTTTACTGAAGTGATGGAGAATACAGCCGACTACACACTCAAATCTGAAAACCTATCAGGTATCTGTTTAAGAAGACAGTTGCTTGTAGATGATACTGAGTTATATTTTCATGACAGTAGAAGAAAGTGTTAATGAAAATTCATTATATATTCTTTGCAGTTAACTTGTAGAAAACAAACAATAAGCCAGTATGGCAATATTCATTTTATTGTGTTCGACAGCATGGTGTTCCTTCTGTTTCTTTGTACTTAAACATTATCTGTCTTCATGGAAAGCAGTGGCTTTTTGGAATATAATACTTAATGATATAATAATGATAATGAGTTTTCCTCATTAAGTAATTATTTTTTTGCAATTAACTTTTTAATTAATTTTTCATAAATATAAAGAACACAGAACACCAAAATGACGCTTTCAATCTAACAAACAACTTTGGTTGATACAAATACACATGATATAAAATAGGACACTAAATAAATTATGAATAAACATAGGACAGTCTAAAAAGAACTTCTTATACATTCATAATGTCAAGTAGTAATAAATGAAAACAAGAAGATATATCTGTTCTCATCACAGCTGATTTGGATATTGTCCTTACAGATCAGCCGGTCAATAAAATGCAAAGTCCTTATACTTCTGAGGTAAACTGTATAGCTGGGGTTGACATGCAGTTACATATTCAAAAAACCCAAACCATTTCTCCATAAAATTATTCATATAGTTTAGATTGTCTAGTGCTAACAATTGTATTGCTAACTTGTCAGATATTGCTATGTCCCACACCTTTGTTCTCCATTGTGCCAAGGTAGGGGTCTTTGATAATTTCCAGTTTAAGGCTATAAGGGTTTTTGCAGCACTAAGGAGTAGTGTTATGTATTCTATGTTTCCCTCATTAATTTATCATGGTGATCCCATTATATACTTCCAATAATTTCTCTCATTTTTTGCATATTCTCCTCACTTTGTAAACATCTTCTTTCGTGGAATATATTTCTCAGATATTCTTAACTCATCCTGGAAGTCTCTCAACTTCCAGCCATTTATGTAATGGGGACATGTCAAAATCTCCACCATCTTCTTCCTCAAACTGGTCACTGACAACTGGCTATTTCCCTACTTAAGTGGGAAAATACCCACTGCCCATATCTACCTTCTCACCCAGTCACATCTGAGAAATGTAAGCTTTGCCAGCCGTCTTAACATCCCACATCACAAAAACTCCTGCACATGGACCATGCAAAAGGACTGCCCTGAGTATCCACCCAGGATTATGGGTGCAGAAGCTGTGGTCCAATAGATTTTAAACATTATCCAAACTAACAATCTAGGAAAAAGTTTAGCTAGCTGCCTTAGTATTCCATTTTTTTCTTTACTGCATTAGCATTTCATTTATTTCCATCTAAGACCCTCTCCTCTAGCCTAACCTTCTTCTTGGATTTTCTGCTTTCTTAGTAAAGTTCTTCCATTTTCTCTAGATCCAGATGTGTGTGACACCTGTTTTGGTCAGTGTGTTTACATAATTTATGCACTGTTATCTTAACAAGGGTTCTGAGGTGAAGAACCACTTGCTGGAGAAATCTTCCTGTTAGTTTTCTACCTCTGAGGACATGGAGAAAGGGTGGTGAAAAACAGGACCTCGTTTTGTTCTTCTGGCTGCTTCTGACCCAGAAGTAATTAAGCAAGTGTGTGGGGGAATAGTTTTTCTCTTCTTTCCCATTCTTCCTATTGTTACAGTATTTTATACACTTCTCACCTTTCTGTCATTACATGGAAGGTAGTTTACAATTCAAAATAATACCATATATATATATATGTGTGTGTGTGTGTGTATATATATATATATACACACACACACACATATATACATATATATGTGTGTGTATGTATGTATGTATGTATGTATATATATATATAAGAAAGTCCCCTCACCATAAAATCAATGCCAAGGCCAAACCGCAGGACCTAGAAACACCAAATTCGGGGAGAGCGCTCATTAAGAAGGGATTTTTAGAAATTCGACCCCCCAAGGGGGTCAAAAGGGATAAAATGTGCTCCCCGCATTGATTCCTATGCAGCTGCCAGGCTGCTGCCTCCTTGCACTCTCTACTCTCTGATTGGTCAGCTGCAGAGCTCAGTGTTCTGAGGTTAAAAAAGCCAACAGCTATAGGAGTCTGCAGACAGCTAATGACAGTTGAAGAAATCAGGAATGGCCAGCAACCACCTGTGAGATGCAGTAATGCTGCTGGCTCAGCCTCTTTGATGGCTTCCAACACACTCCCCATACCTCCTACACCTAACAGGTGCAGCTGCGGTTGCAGGGTGCTTAAAGCCACGAGGGAGCCTGTCCCAGCAGTAACGCCTTGGTGATCCTGCTGGCCCTGCTTCCACAGTAGCTTCTAATATTCCTCCCCCTCCCCCTCCTACAGGCAGCTGCCTGTCAAGTGTAGGAGAGGAGGTGGGATGCTTACAGCCGCCTGGAAGGTTTGCTCAGCAGAATTGCCTTAGCCCTGCTGCTGGCCCAGCCTCCCTGATGCCTTTAAATACAATCCCCCCCAACACCAGACAGGCGGGTGTCTATCAGGTGTAGGAACATGGCCAGAGTACTTTAATCCATCAGGGATGCTGCCCTAGCAGGATCACCTTAGCGATGCTGCTGGCCCAGCCTTTCTGATGGCTTCCAACACACTCCCCCCACCTCCTACACCTAACAGGCAGTTGTCTGTGAGGAGCAGCGGGTGCAGGTGCTGAAATCCACGAGGGAGCTTGCCTTAGTGATCCTGCTGGCCCTGCCTTCACAGTGGCTTCTAATACTCCTCCCCTCTCCCCCTCCTACACTGGACAGGCAGCTGCCAGGAGGAGGCAACTTAGGAATCTGGCAAAGACATTCTTACATAGTACTCCTGTGGGTCACTGAACTGCGCAGGCCAAGTACCAGCAAGATCACTCTGAGGTGCTCAGAACAACACAGTCTCCATATGAGCAAAACAATCCAGGAACACAAGTGGAAAGGCCATCACTTTCATGGAAGGTGGCAGGAATTGACTTAACAGATGACTGCTTCTTAAATGGACAGTTATATGTTGCCTGCTCCAGAGTGAGCTCATCAAGCAGCCTGGTGATCCTAGCACCTGAGGGCAGAACCACCAATGTGGTTGACAGAGAAGTCCTTCGGTAGAGGGGGAAAAAGTACGTATGTCTCACTTCATTTTTTACACTACAATCTTCTCCACTAGAATTCCTACAACAATGTCACATTTCAGACTTCACATCATTGGTATTATAACTGGCTTTACGGAACTTAAATACTGTAGTGAAGCACGGGTATCAGGCTAGTATGATATAAAAGGAAAAGAGGACAAAAATGGAACTGGAAAACAAATTCAGGCAGGTAACTTTTGTAACTGTTCAATAATGACCAGATAAACTCATTGGTGATGGAAATAGCTTGGGGGAGGACTCAAATGGCATTTGGTCCTAGACAGGGTGATGGAGGAGACACCTTGCAGTGTCTCCTTCTGGTGGAGCAGGTGGAAAGGTGGAATGATTCTCTGGGTCTGTTTCAAAACTTGTGTACAGCTAAACTGGCATTACAGTTACGTCAACCTTTGACCATCTGTCAAAGCAGAAGGTAAAGTAAATGTTTATTGTGTGTGGCCAAGGCCATTACGAAGTTGGCATAATTAAACATAGAATAAAAACAATCATCAAAATGCCACACAATTAAAACAGATTACAAAATTCTAATTTTGAAGTTTCAGACACCACTTTTGCATGTATTTTCTTGGCAGCCAGAACATGTAGGGCTGCCATGTATTTGGTCTTTCATCTACAAGAAGGAATATTATACGCTCCTAAACTGGGCATACAGTCAGATTGGCTAAGCTGGCTGCAAGAAATTTATGTCTGGGTTCCCAATATGGAGGACAATGCAGCATGTGGTGAGGAAGATCCTCAGCCCCTACCATACCATAGACATAAATATGCTGAACAACCTGTTTTCATGGGTCCTGTTAACATGACAGATTGCATGGTTTGAAAGCGAATGACTGTAAAGGCTGATCTTAGGTTGTAAAACGTAATGGTAGTTAAGTAATAGGCTTTGTTGTTATTGTGATCCCTCATGGATCACTGCCTTGTCGTGGCGAGGGGGCTTGCGCAGTTCAATGAAGCTGTGGGCTATGCCGTGAAGGGCCACCCAAGACGGACAGGCCACAGCAGAGAACTCAGACCAAGCGTGATCCACCTGGAGAAGGAAATGGCAACCCACTCCAGTATTTTTGCCAAGAAAACCCCATGGACAGTATCAAAAGGCTAAAAGATATGACGCCGGAAGATGAGCCCCTCAGGTCGGAAGGTGTCCAATATGCTACTGAGGAAGAGCAGAGGGCAAGTACAAGTAACCCCAGAAAGAGTGAAGCGGCTGGGCCAAAGCCGAAAGGACCCTCAGTTGTGGATGTGTCTGATGGTGAAAGGAAAGTCCAATGCTGCAAAGAACAATACTACATAGGAACCTGGAATGTAAGATCTATGAATCAAGGTAAGCTTGACGTGGTCAAAAATGAGATGGCAAGACTGAACATCGATATCCTAGGAATCAGTGAACTAAAGTGGACAGGAATGGGCGAATTTAACTCAGAAGACCATTATATCTACTACTGTGGCCAGGAATCTCGTAGAAAAAATGGTGTGGCCTTTATAGTCAACAAGAGAGTGCAAAAGGCAGTACTGGGATACAATCTCAAAAATGACAGAATGATTTCTGTCCGATTCCAAGGCAAACCATTCAACATCACAGTAATTCAAGTGTATGCCCCAACCACTGATGCAGAAGAGGCTGAAGTAGACCGGTTCTATGAAGACCTACAACACCTCCTAGAACTAACACCAAAAAATGATGTCCTCATCATCATAGGGGACTGGAATGCTAAAGTAGGAAGTCAAAAGGTAACTGGAATAACAGACAAGTTTGGCCTTGGAAAGCAAAATGAAGCAGGGCAAAGGTTAACAGAGTTTTGTCAAGAGAACACACTGGTCATAGCGAACACCCTTTTCCAACAACCTAAGAGGCGACTCTACACATGGACATCACCAGATGGGCAACACCGAAATCAGATTGACTATATAATTTGCAGTCAAAGATGGAGAAGCTCTATCCAGTCAGTAAAAACAAGACCTGGAGCTGACTGTGGTTCAGATCATGAGCTACTCATTGCAAAATTCAGACTTAAACTGAAGAAAATCGGGAAAACCATGAGGCCATTCAGGTTTGACCTAGATCACATCCCTGATGAATATACAGTAGAGGTGAAGAATAGATTCAAGGGTCTGGATTTGATAGATAGAGTGCCTGAAGAACTATGGACAGAGGTTCGTGACATCGTACAGGAGGCAGCAATCACCACCATCCCAAAGAAAAAGAAATGTAAGAAAGCAAAGTGGCTTTCTGATGAGGCTTTACAAATAGCAGAGGAAAGAAGGAAAGCGAAAGGCAAAGGCGAAAAGGAAAGATTTACCCAACTGAACGCAGATTTCCAGAGAACAGCAAGGAGAGATAAGGAGGCCTTCCTGAATGAACAGTGCAAAGTAATAGAAGAAAACAATAGAATGGGAAGGACTAGAGATCTCTTCAAGAAAGTTGGAGAAATCAAGGGAGCGTTCCATGCAAAGCTGGCCATGATAAAGGACAAAAACGGTAGGGACCTAACAGAAGCAGAAGAGATTAGGAAAAGATGGCAAGAATACACAGAAGAACTATACAAGAAAGACCTCGATGTCCTTGACAACCACGACGGTATAATCACTGACCTCGAGCCAGACATCCTGGAATGTGAAGTTAAATGGGCCTTAGAAAGCATTGCTAACAACAAAGCTAGTGGAGGTGATGGTATTCCAGCTGAGCTATTCAAAGTCTTAGAAGATGATGCTGTTAAAGTGCTGCACTCCATTTGCCAGCAAATTTGGAAAACGCAACAGTGGCCACAGGATTGGAAAAGATCAGTATACATTCCAATCCCAAAGAAGGGCAACGCCAAGGAATGTTCAAACTATCGCACAATTGCACTCATATCACACGCTAGCAAGGTCATGCTCAAGATCCTACAAGCTAGGCTTCAACAGTACGTGGATAGAGAACTACCAGAAGTACAAGCTGGGTTTCGAAGAGGTAGAGGAACTAGAGATCAAATTGCCAACATTCGCTGGATTATGGAGAAAGCAAGAGAGTACCAGAAAAATATCTACTTCTGCTTCATTGACTATGCTAAAGCTTTTGACTGTGTGGATCACAACAAACTATGGCAGGTCCTTAAAGAGATGGGAGTACCAGACCACCTCACATGTCTCTTGAGAAACCTGTATAAGGGCCAAGAAGCGACAGTTAGAACCGGATATGGAACAACTGATTGGTTCAGCATAGGAAAAGGAGTACGACAAGGATGTATATTGTCGCCTTGCTTATTTAATATATATGCAGAGTACATCATGCGAAATGCTGGCCTGGATGAATCACAAGCGGGAATTAAGATTGCTGGGGAAAAGATCAACAACCTCAGATATGCAGATGATACCACTCTAATGGCTGAAAGTGAAAAGGATCTAAAGAGCCTCTTGCTCAGAGTAAAAGAGGAGAGCGCAAAAGTGGGCTTGAAGCTCAACATCAAAAAAACTAAGATCATGGCATCCGGCCCCATCACTCCTTGGCAAATAGAAGGGGAAGTCGTGGAAGTAGTGACAGACTTCACGTTCCTGGGATCCCAGATCACCGCAGACTGTGAATGCAGCCATGAAATTAAAAGACGCCTGCTCCTTGGGAGGAAAGCGATGGCGAACCTAAACAGCATGATAAAAAGTAGAGACATCACCCTGCCAACAAAAGTCCGCATGGTCAAAGCAATGGTATTCCCAGTAGTCATGTATGGCTGTGAGAGTTGGACTATAAGGAAGGCCGAGCGCCGAAGAATAGATTCTTTTGAACTATGGTGCTGGAGAAGACTCTTGAGAGTCCCTTGGACTGCAAGAAGAACAAATCAGTCAATCCTCAAAGAAATCAACCCTGACTGTTCCCTGGAAGGCCAGATAATGAAACTGAAGCTCAAATACTTTGGCCACCAAATGAGAAGGGAGCACTCACTGGAAAAGACCCTGATGCTGGGAAAGATTGAAGGTCAAAGAAGACGGGGACGGCAAAGGATGAGATGGTTAGACAGTGTCAGCGATGCAACGAACATGAAATTGAGCCAACTTCGGAGGACGGCGGAAGACAGGAGAGCCTGGCGGGAGATTGTCCATGGGGTCGCGAAGAGTCGGACTCGACTGTGCGACTGAACAACAACAAAAAGGGGCAGGTGTCAAAAAGGGACGATGCACTGCTGCCAGTCCCAGTAGCAAGCAAAAAGGGGGGGGGCACACCTCTTCCTTCCTTCCTGGTTGAAGCTGGAGGGTCAGAGGGTGCTGTTCACGTGTTCAGACAAGGGAGAGTCCACTAAGGTGGCAGATTTTATGCCACTCAATCTACTCCATAGCCTCCTCTGAAATCTATTGTTGTATCCCAGTCCATCAAGACATCAAATGTGTGTACCCATTCATGTGGTTTGGTGCTAACCTAGGGAACCCTCTGGGAGTTAACTAGAAAAGAATATCGATTAAGAATACTGTTTTATCTAGTGACCCTTATTCTTCTGGATAAGGGTGAAACATTGCTTTGAGAGATGGGAGGCTGGCCTTTATGGCAGGCTGAGCTTTCATCTGTTTACACCAAAAAATAATTAAAGCAGCATATACCTGAGCCCCTACTGAAGGAAGGCCCACATTGTGGCAACTGGAGCACTCTTAGGCAGAACTAGGATTTTTTTTTAAAAAAGATTTTGAATACTCCCCTGTTTTTTGATTAGTATATTGTTCCAGCCCAAAATTTTTACTCATTTATTTTACTCATTGGCCCTACTCTGGTACAGTTTTAGGGCAGGATCAAACAAAAAGCCTCCTTTGTTGTGATAGAATTTTAGAATGGCCCCCAGTGTATGAAGAGCTGTGAGTTTTAGGATTTCCAAGTGGGTCTTCTAGGAGAATGTTTCACAAAACATAACTCCGAGATGCTTGACGTTCCTACATTGATCAACAGGAATACTGTCAATGGACCACTAGAATTTGCGGGGCTTTTCCCCAAAGACCATCATGTTTGTCTTGGCATAGTTAATACTTAGGGATACTTCTTTACAGAAGTCACTAAGTTTGAACAGCAGCCTCCTAAGCCTTACTCGAATAAGTGACAGTAAAACCATGTTATTTGCATACAAAAGGGGAAATTTTCTTGGAGCCAAGTGAAGGTGAGGTAAACTCTCTTGATGATGTTATTCAGAAACAGATTAAAAACTAAGGGGGCTAAGACACATCCCTGTTTAACTTCTCTGCTTATTGGGATGTCCTCTGTTAGAGAGCCAGAAATGCCCATTCTTACTTTAGTGGTTGTGTTGCTTTGGAGTTCCTGTAGGAAAAAAAGGAGGCATTTGTCTATATTGGTATGTACCAGCTTACGCCAAACTCAAGCTCTGTCTCTGTCAGGAGTATCAAACGCAGCAATTTAGTGGAACCCTTTATATGTTATGTTGTGAGGTAGTATAGGGTCATGCAGTGATTTGTAGTACTTTGTCCTCTGCTGAAGTCTGCTTGTTCTAGGTGCATCTGTAAGGTGGAATTCTTGAATGAAGCTGTCTAAGTAGTATGTTTGCAAATGGGGGTTTGTGGCTGGTTTCTGTTCATTTTGTCTTACTGCTGAGTGCTTAGAGCTTTGTGGCTCTTATATTGATATGCTGCTTTAAGTTCTGTAGCATGGGAGAAAAATAAATAAAAATACTTTTTAATTTGCATGCATTAAGCTACTGTTTCAGAGTCTAGGAATGATATATAGTTATGGAAATCAGATAATGAAACAGAGGACTTCCATCATTACTAGAGTCTTCAGTTATCACTGCATTGGTGGTTAATAGTAATGTGATATATTTAGCACAGGGCTTCCTTAATTACGTGTGTTTTCCTTCTGTAGTAAGAGAGAAAATGGACTCTGTACCACTATCAGAATTCTTTATTGGAGATATGCCTTCATTGATGCAGGTATAGTTTTCAGTTTGGCACTTGAATAACAATAGATGTAAGTTTGAATATAGTAAACACAGTTGGGAACCTGAGATGGTAGCATAAGCTGTCACTATTTTAGTTGTTATATTATAGAAAACAAAGAAGAAGAAGAAGAGATTGGATTTATACCCCGCCCTTCACTTGGAGTCTCAGAACGGCTTACAAACTCCTTTCCCTTCCCCTCCCCACAACAGACACCCTGTGAGGTGGGTGGGACTGAGAGAACTCTGACACAAACTGCTCTTTCAGGAACAGCTGTGCCAGAGCTTGTGACTGACCCAAGGTCACATCAGCAGGTGCAAGTGGAGGAGTGGGGAATCAAACCCGGTTCTCCCAGATTAGAGTCCGCACACTTAACCATTACACCAAACTGGCTGTTCCAGAGGCTGAGAAATATACAGTTCCTAACTTCTACAGCATTCAAAAATCCATGTATTGAGTGGACCATCTCTATGTATATTTAGGTCCATATTTAGCCCAAGTGTGTTGTGAAACAAGGACAAATTAAATAAGGGTGAGAGCAAGGTATGTATTATTTGCTTGACTGTTGGGTCAGCAATAACAGCCTTGCGTATGCAAATTTTAAATACCTGTAATGATTATGTAGTACTGTTTAACATGTAAGCACATTTCTGATAAATTTGGAAGCAATCTGTGACTGCAATATGAACTATTAAAGGTTGCTATGAATCAGGAAGTGTGGTCTGATGCTGGGCTGCAAATTACTACTCTCTGGTTTTTGAACTCTAGCCCAAAGAAGGGATATTGTCATTACTTTCTCCCTGCTTAGTTGGTTATCTTGAGTCTTTTTATCAGCTCTTCACACCGTCAGCTGCCTCTGAGAAACCATACTTGAATTGCTCTGAATCAGTGCTTCCCCATTCTGAAATCTGGGCTGAAGTTTCAGGTTTCCCCAACAGTAGCAAAACATGAGTTTGACAGCCCAGACGTACTTCATGGATTTCATTTTGCCCATCTACATTTTAGTGATTTTTGAGTCTTACATTCAAAATTACTTCTGTATACATTTTAGTTGTCATAGCTGGTCCTAATGTGTGGATTCATTTCAGAGATGCCCTTCAGAACAGCTGCTTTTAGCTTATGAGTGTCTGGATAAAGCAGTTAATGCAATGACACATGCTCGCTCAGTTTTACCTGCTGGGACATTGGTGTTGGATAACTGCTGCAAAAGGGTAAGGACTGTAAAATGGTACTCTAGGCATAGAGTTGAATCAAGAGCATTCCTTCCCCACAGGAATCCTTTCTGACACCTGCAAAGTTGATTTCCAGGGTTGTGGGCCCCAGACCAATAGCCATGTAGTTTTGAGGGGTTGTACTGACAAGGAGGAAGGGGGTGGAATAATCTCTCCTACATTTTCATTTAGTAGGGCTTTAAACAAATAATGAGCTGCCATTCTTTTTAATAAACTGCCATATTTTCCTTTGTTTAATTGTGTACCTCAGGCGTGGAGAAAAACTCTTGATTTACATAACAGTGTTAAATATGATAAAGTGACTGTGTCTTTGGGTCTCTTTGGGTACTTTCTTGCAGTCTTGTAGTAGATAAGCAAGCACCCATGCAGTCTAATGTATCTGTGGTGAAAAGCTATTGAGGCAAACACAGAGACTCTGGACTCATTGTCACAAATGAAAGATGCGATAAACTTGCATTTAAGCTATATCACTTCAGGCTGCAGGTGGAGATTAACATAACTGAAAGCAACACTTGGCTTCAGTTTATATATATTAACTTCTGGATGTGAGTCTCTTTATAATAGTATTACTGACCACTGCGGAAGGCCCTAGAGACCAAAATGCATATGGTCCTATTGGTCATTTGATATATTCATCGCTCATCAACTCTGAATGTAAAATGACTACAACTTATGTAAAGCTCATGTTGATATTCTATTTAGTCTGCTCTTCAGACTGTTTTAATCTTTGCCACTGTGTACACCGTAAATAATATGTTTGTGTGTATATGATAATATTTATTTTGAAGTTAGCCTGACCCTTTTAACATTGTTGGTATATTTTGGGTTAAGTTTGTCTTTCCCTTTTTCGTCCTTTGTTAGACCATCAAGAAGGTCCAGGGTCGCTACACAGAGGTAGGCAATGGGAAACCATCTCTTAACATCTCTTGTCTTGAAAACCCTATGTAGTTGCTATAAGTCAGCTGTGCCTTGACAGCATTTTCCACCACCACTATATTCACTAAAGGCAAGAGTTGAGTTGATTATAAGTAGAAAACAGAAAGTCTTCCTAACAAAGAATAGGAGAACGTGGGACATTGTGAACCTTACTTTTTTGTTTTGAGGAATGGAACAAAAGCAGGAATTTCTTCATAAATAACTGGAAATTTGGAACAGGCTTGAAATGTTTAAAACAATATTCATTAATTTTCTTTTAATTGTCTTGTTATTACAAGAATAAGTGTCATGTATATATTGTTCAGTCTCTGATATATTTGTGGTATAAATATTTATATTGTGGTCTGTAAAACAATTTTTAAAACTTATACCTCAAGGGATTGTATAATATAAATATTCAAGAGTGAGTTTTATTAATTCCTTTTTATCAGCTGACTTTAAATAAGCAAAATTTGAATGGGTCTCCAGAAAATGAAGCTGCCCAGAAATCAATGATAGGAAACAATTTTATTATGGATTTACATCTTGAACTTATTCTGGCTCAGCATCGAGTAGCTATTAAACTATTTAACTTGGCACAAGGTAAGAACAAGATGAATAGCCACAGATTGATGTAATTTACTGTTATTTTTGGAAATAAGATCTCATCCAAAAGTACCTTCTATCCTTGTGATTATAAGTCATAAAATATTGCACATTATTGTTCTTATATTGGGTTTCATCCAGATGACTTAAACTAAATTATTACTTTTATTGTGTGCATTTGCTGTTTCTGAGCACAAAGGCAGGAGATAAATTACCCTAATATGAATATACGTGTTCCTCCAAATTTGGAGGAAAATAAGGATATTTGTTCTAGGTAGAGTATTCGTTGGTCTTATACTGTGTGTAATGCAGTTTCATGAGTGTCAGGCATATATTGAATAGTACATTTGAATCAGTAATGATGAATGACATATAGTTTTATAAGCTTTTCTAATTCCTTAATTTTTTTTGAAAATAATTGTCACCCAGAACAGTGTACAGCAGACTGATAAATTACAATGTGTTTTGGAGGAGCCTCAGCTTAATCAGGGATCCCAGATGGTAGTATCTGGGTGTTTAAAGATATGGTTGTGTTATCCACACGTTACAAGTGGGAAACTCTGATTTAGCAATAGGGATGGGCACGGAATGTGTTTTATTATTTATTTATTTGATTTATATACCGCCCTCTCCGCAAGCAGGCTCAGGGTGGTTTACATCAAGTTAGACAAATTAAAACAACATAAAATCACAGATCATAAAATCACAACTACCATGTAAAATAGCCTATTCAGGTGTCAGTCATATTTGAGTATAACAATGGTGCCCTGATGTCAAATTTGAACCAGGCCACTTGTGGGGGGTTGGCCAGGAAAAAGGGAGGGACACCTGCCGCCTCAACCAAAAGCCCAGCGGAAGAGCTCCGTCTTGCAGGCTCTGTACTGTAATAAATCCCACAGGGCCCTGATCTCATATGGGAGCTCATTCCACCAGGCAGGGGCCAGGGCTGAAAAAGCCCTGGCACTGGTCAAGGCTAGATGGACATCCCTGGGGCCGGGGACTGCCAGGAGATGTTGGTTGGTGAACCTCAATGTCCTACGGGGTTCATATGGGAAGAGATGGTCTCGAAGGTATGCTGGCCCCTGGCCACATAGGGCTTTAAAGGTAAGCACCAGCACCTTGAAACCGATCTGGAATTCAATAGGCAGCCAGTGCAGTTCACACAGCACTGGGTGGATGTGAACCCGCACAGGTGGATGTGAGCCTGCACCATCAACACCTGTGCTGCCGTGTTTTGCACTAGCTGCAATTTCCAGAGCAGAGTCAAGGGCAGCCACACTTAGAGAGTGTTACAATAATCCAGTTTGGAAGCGACCATTGCATGAGTCATTGTAGCTAGGTCCCGGGGGTCAAAATATGGGGCCAACTACCTGATCTGTCTCAGACGGAAAAAGGCAGACCTGGCAGTGGCGGTGAACTGGCCCTCCATCCAGAGGGAGGCATCCAGGAACACACCCAGGCTCTTCACCCTCGATGTTGGCACCAGTGGGGCCCCATTGAAGGTTGGGAGCCTGATTCCCTGACTCAATCCCCTGCAACTCAGGTGCAGGACCTCTGTCTTAGTTGGATTTAACTTCAGTCGGCTCTGTCGCAACCATCCAGCCACGGCTTGTAACGCCTCATCCAGATCTCCTGGGGCTGTGTCCGGGTGGCTGTCCATCAGAAGATAGAGCTGGGTGTCATCCACATACTGGTGACAACCCAGCCCATACCTCCAGATAATCTGGGTGACGGGGCGCATATAGATGTTAAACAACATGCGGGAGAGAATTGCTCCCTGCGGCATACCACATTCTAGTGGGTCCTGCTGGGATAACTCCCTCCCAAGCGCCACCCTCTGTCCCCGACCTTGAAGAAAGGAGGTCAGCCACTGCAAGGCAAGCCCCCATATCCCGGTATTGGCGAGGCGGTGGGTTAACACCTCATGGTCAATTATATTGAACGCTGCCGAAAGATCAAGAAGGATCAGCAGCGCTGGTTTAGTTTTAACGGTTCAGTTCATGGTTTGTGTCTGAACCATGAACCGAACCATGAACTGATATGCCGGTTCACAAACTGAACCAGTTTGCAAGCCATTTAAAGTTTAAACCCCTGCTTTCTGCTCCCCTTGGCTTTTCGCAGAGAGCAGAAAGCAGGGTTTAAATGTCTCAGAGCCATTTAAACCAAACAGCTGAGTGGCAGGGAGCTCCCTGAAGCCCAGCTGTTTTTCTGCTCTTCGCGAACTGCCAAGAACTGCATCAAAATTCATGGAAGTTCATGGTGGTTCTTCATTTCACAAACAACTCTTTCCAAACTATGAACTGGCCAAAATTCATGATGAACTTTAGTTCATCAGTCAGTTCGTGCCCATTCCTATTTAGCAACACTTGTACCATAATAGTTATGTTTGTTATGAAAGATATGGAATTATCCAGAATGGCATAAAAGATGGATGAAATTTTATGTACTTCAGTGCATGCTTCAATTTTAGACATTCCAATGAATGATTCAGATGAAATGAAAGTAGTACTAGTGTTGCAGTGGGAGCATGGATGCAGGACTTACATTGAAGTTTATGCATTACATTGTCTTAAGTAAATAGCATGTGTGATACAAACTAATACTCCCTTTCCTCTAGACACCCAATATGATAAAAGCATTACATTAAATTCCCCTATGAAAGAAGTGAACAAGTTCAAATGTTTAGCAGGTAATGTACATTAACATATACTTGTAAAATATCTTACGGAGTTACCACATTTTGCACAAGGAAAATTTATTACCTCGCTTTAAACATTGTTTCACAGAACAAGATGTAATGAATAAAATAAAAAAGAATAAATTGTCCAGAGCTCTTTTCCTGATGCAGAAGGCTGTACTTTTGCTTCCAGCAGAATTAGCCAGTTCTTCCCCAAAACAGCTTCTTGAGGTAATTATATTGAAAATTAATGAACATCCTAATACAGTGCAGTTTTCTTTTTAATATTTAATTATCACACTCTAATGTATCAGGACCTGACTGCATGGTCAGCTTGGGCACCACGCGGTCAAGTACAAGCATCGAGCTTCGCTCCAACAGACAATGGACGATACGGATCCTAGCCCGCACCAATCAGAGGGCTAGGCTCCAGGCTGAGAGCCTGTGGGACTCTCAGCGACTAGTTTGGATCTACTGGGAAGTGGGGGGGGGTGTTTTGGGTGGTGGATTCACGGGGGATATAAGCCGGCCTGCGAGCCGGCTAAAGTTGTCTTGTTCTACACCTAATAAAGTACGCTAAGCTGAAATCACTCTCTGTCTGCGTACGTTTCACACACATAACTTTTTATTGAAAGATCATTCCATAAAATGAAATCTCTGAGGATACTGCTGGCATTATAAATGTTCAAAAATAACTGTAGCAGCAGGTCTGTTAGTTTTTTTGAATGTGGGAAAATAAAAAAGCAAGTCCCCCCCCCCCCCCGGAAAAAAAAAGAGGGTGATTCCATTTCTCTCAGGCTGTAACAGTTACTCAAGTAGTGAACATCCAAAGGTTTAATCAAAGATGTCGGATCCTCAGACGTTGAAATAAAATTGTTTTGTCCCCTCAGGGGAATATTAGAAACATACTATACCACCTGTTTCTTCATGAAATAGTTTATACATGTTCCTTTAGAGTGCTTGAGGTGAATCATTCAGAATACACAGAAATTTACTACCCTTAATTATATCTTTTGCTATCCATTATTGGCATCACTGTTTTTATTTTCCATTGATACCCCATATTTAAATATAAACTTTAAAGCAGGTGAAAGTTTGTATCATCCCATTATTGTATTAATGGTCCAGATCCCATTGCAGACATTTTGATGGGCTAGATCCAGTGAATGGAAATTCTCCCCTTTTGCTCCTGCTGTAGCCCCCTCTGCTCCTGAAATTGTAGAGCTGTAGATTTCCCAGGTCATATATAATAGTAGGAATTGGCATGAACTGGGAAAATGCAGTTCAGTTCATGGCCGAACCATGGTGGGTTGAAAGGGACTGCAGTCTCTTTAAACAGGGTTTGCAAAAAGCCCCCCCCCCAAAAAAAGCTGAGCAGTGGAGAGCAGCTTGCTCACCATCGTTCTGCTGTTTTGGGCAGTCTTATGTGGTCTCTTTAAACTTTAAAGGGATCTTTTTTTTGCTACTGTTCATAGGATCTTTTTTTTGCTACTTGTATACTTCTTTCTTTATGTATTTGATGTATAGATAAGCCAAATAACATTTTTCTTTGGCTTTAATTTTAAATCACAGGAAGCATTTGTTTTAATCCAGAAGGCAGAAGCAGAACAAAATGCATTATGTACTAGTCTCCAGCAACTTGCAGCTACTGTGAAAAGCAAAGTTCCACCTCCTCCTGTATTGCTTTCCAGATCTTACAGTTCCGTGTCATTTAAACCCGCTCCATTTACTTCAGATGTGAAGGTAATTATTTTCACCACTGGGGTGAATTATCCCAATTGGGACAGCTTGGTTTGTCTTGTCAATTGAGAATATTTTAGTAGTATTATATTTTCCTTGGTTATTGAGAGTATGTTTCACTTTTTTCTTTAGTACTGTTTTTGTTCAGTCTGCAAGTTTTCATCAGCTAATTAAATTTTTTATATTTATTGTTTGACAATGAAGTATTTTTGTACACACATGTAGGCTACTCACCACAGGGTGGTGCAATGTGCTCAATTTTATCCTTTTAATGTTCTTTTAAACGTTTGAAAATGTTTTGATACATGATGATACAGAAAATTATCCACTGTGGTACCTATTGTTTAAAAACAAATCTGTGATTATTTCATTTTGTTTTAGAATTCTCTTGAAATATAAATGCATAGAATATTTAGCTGGAAGGTCAGTGCAACACATATTAGTTTTGACATACCTCTTTCAACTATAAATTTATTCTTTTTCTATTAAAATTAGTACTTTTTAAAATAATTCGCCTGATACTGAAATATACTATTGTTATATTTCTGTGGTGTGTGAATACCCCAAAGTCTTCAGCATGTGAACTTGACAGGAATGGCTTTAATTGTTTAATTGTTGTATTAGTGCAGCACACTTGGAGCTACTTAATGATTGAACCTGCAATCCTAAACATACTCAAGAAGAGTATCTCCAGATTTCCACGTTATAGGACCAGTCTACTTATTAAATAATTAAATTGTAAATTACTAGGAAACTGTTTTCAGAATCACTATACTTTTAGTTTAGTTTAGTTTAGTTTCTGAAGTAATTTTATTATGAATATCCAAGTATTTCAATAGCTTTTTATTTTAAAAAGGTTTCGTGGTATGCTGTTTTTGGATGTGTAGCACAAGGAAGCATACCAAAAGTCCGGTTAAATAACTACAGTCTTAAGAACACTGCAGAACTGGTAAGATCTCTTACAGTTCCTGTCTTTGAGTTGGCCTATTTTATATGCCTCTTTCAGAGCCACACAGAGGTAGCATGTGTGGGAAGGGTCCCATCTGAAATGTAACATTTTATATGTTCATAAAGGTGCATTTGAGACTGGAGTGTCTTTATTTTTATGTTGCTACTGTGGTTCATAGTCTGAATCTGAGTGTTGGCTCTGTGACAGACCCTGAAAGCACTATGGAACATTGTCTCTCTCAGAATGAAATAGGTTATTCTCAACAACACATTACTTACAGCAGTGAGAGATCTGCAAGGTAGGGAACGTAAAAAAATTAAATTATCTAAACAATTAAAAATACCGTTAAAATGATAAAATTATTCAATTAAAAACTCACAAACTCTAGGAGGATGGCCAGTAACCATTATTGGGAGTATGCCAGACAAAACAAAAAAGCCTGCCCTGCTGGTGAAAGACACCAGTAGAGGGAGACAGAAAAATCTTCCTGTGGAGGAAGTTCCAAAGTTTTGGGGGCTAACCAAGAAGGCCCTTTTTTGGGTTACCACCTGTCTAGCTTCAGATGGTGGGGGAACCTAAGTAGGTCCTCCGAAGATGACCAGAGTTTACTGGTAGGTTTATTCGGGAGAAGGTGGTCCTTAAGATACATTGCTCCCAGGCTGTACAGGGCTTTAATAGTCAACACCAGCACTGTGCATTGAGCCTGGAAGCAACTTGGAAGCCAGTGTAGACAGAACAAAATTATATGTAATTATATGGTCCCTACAACCCACTCCAGTCAATACTCTGGCTGCTGAATTCTCTCCCAGCTGTAGCTTCCAGACAGTCTTTAAGGGTAGCCCCACATAAAGCTCATTTCTGTAATCTAATTTTGATATTACTAGGACATGCACCACAGTGACAAAATCTTTTCTGGCCAGGAAGTACTGCAGTTGGCTCACCTAAGGCACTCTGGTACCCACTGCCACCTGTTTATTCAACAGGAGGTCTAGGTCCAGGAGCACTCCTAAGCTATGAACCTGCTCCTTTTGGGAGAGTGCAACCCCATGCAGAACAGGGGATAACCCATGTTCTGGGTGAGAGCTTCCCCCCACCAGTTCCACCTCTTTTTTGTCAGGATTTTCAGCTTGTTAGCCCTCATTCATAAGAACATAAGAAAACCAATGATCCATCTAGTTCAATGTCCGGTCTCACACAGTGGCCAACGAGATTCTCTGGATGACCAACAACAGGGCACAGAGGCCAAGGCCTTCCTCTGATGTTGCTTCCTGGCTCCGGGATTCAGAGGCTTAGTGCCTCTGAATATGGAGGGTTCCCCTCAGTCACCATGGCTATTAGCCACTGATAGATTTATCCTCCATGAATCTATGTGGAGGGTTCCCCTCAGTCACCATGGCTATAAGCCACTGATACTTATCCTCCACGAATCTATCTAATTCTCTTTTAAAGCTGTTTATTCCTGTGGCCATCACTACATCCTCTGTTGGTGAATTCCACATTTTAATCACTCTCTGTGTAAAGTAGGATTTCCTTTTGTCCCTCCTGAACCTACCGCCCATCAGTTTCATTGGATGCCCTCAAGTTCTAGTATTTTGGGAGAGGGAGAAAAATGTCTCTTTGTCTCCACCCCATGCATAATTTTATGAACCTCTATCATCTCCCCCTTAATTGTCTCTTTCCTAAACTGGAAAGCCCCATACTCTTCAGCATTTCCTCATAGGGAAGGTGCTCCAACCCCCTAATCATCTTGATTGCCCTCCTCTGTACTTTTTCCAGCTCTGCAATGTCCTTTTGGAGATACAGTGACCAATCCCTTCCCTAACACAGAGTTTGCCTTTTTCACCGCTGCAGCACATTGGATTGACACTTTCATTGAGCTATCCACTATGATCCCAAGATCTTTTCCCCTCTCAGGCTCAGCAACTTCAGTCACCATTAGCCTGTACTAGAAGTTGGGATTTTTGTCCCAATTTGCATCACCTTACACTTATTCATTCCAAAACTGCTTCCAGGCACCTGTTCTTGGTTTCCACAGTTTCTGCTGGTAGTGAGAGAGAGGACTGACTGTCATTTGTATATTGATGGCACCTCAGCCCAATTCTCTGGATGACCTCTCCCAGCAGTTTTAAATAGATGTTGAAAAATATAGGGAGCAAATTGGAACAGAGGAGTAGTCTCCCAGCACCATTTTGAAACCTACCCTTGAGATAGGACCATAACCACTTCAGAACAGTGCATCCCAGTCCTGTAAGACAATCCAGAAGAATACCATGGTATTGAAAGATGTTGAAAAGTCCTAGAGAATTAACAAGGTTGCACTCCCCTTGTCCATCTCCTAGTGCATGTTATCCAGCAGGTTGACCAAGGCTGTTTCAGTCCCAAAGCCAGGCCTGAAACCAGATTTGAAACCAGATTTGAATGGATCTATACAATTCGTTCAGAAATCTTTGAAGTTGGCCAACCACCACTCAATCACCTTGCTCAAGAATGGTACATTGAGACTGGATGGTAGTTATTCAACTCTCCTGGGTCCAGAGTAGGTTTCTTTAAGAGTGGCCACAAGGCAGGAGAGACCACCCCATTTCTCAGGGAGGCATCTACTGTCTCCCAGACCCAGTCTGCCAACCCCTGCTTCCAGCAGTAGCCAAGAGGGGCAAGGGTTGTACAAGCAGGTGGTAGGTCTCAGGCTTCCAAGAATCCTGTCCACATCCTCAAATTTCACACACTGATATAATGGAAGGTATAGGCATACTAATTAGGTGGACATTTCCTTTCTTCTATTTGCAGAATTAGAGGTCCTGAGGCAATAAAAAAATAGGTGCACAAGTGACTCAGGCAGATGTTGTACTGAAACTGCAGCAGCAGTGCTAAGGAGGTGTAGCTGCAGTGGGCTGCAGGTCCTGGCCAAGTCCCTGTTATGGTCACCACCCACAAGCCTCTTGCTGCCAGAGAAAAGCTTTGCCAATTGGGCATATTTGGTTAACCAGAAACCCCCATTTCCCACAGATGTCAATTAGCAAGGTTTTTACTGCATCATTGTTTACTGTAGTGTCAGCACTTCTAGTATATTGACTGTATTGTATCTGTGGCTCCTATTTACATTACTATTCTGGAATTTAATTTTCTTTGATTATTTTTGACTAATTCAGATTTGTTTTAATCACTTGATTTTGTTAGTTTTAAATTATTTAGATAGGATGTTTGGTTCTACCATACTTTATTTTAAACTCTTTGTACAAAATTTTGTCTTGTCCAAAAGCCCATGAACTGTACAGATGAACCTTTTAATAAATGGAATGGAATGTTTCTTCCTTTTTTAAAAAACAAAGTTATTCTGTATTAACAGGTACAAGCTCATGAAAACTGTGTCTTAGAAGTAAAAGATTTAGAACCCAATGAAATGTACGTATTTGCAGTTGCAGCGTATTCCTCAGATGGAAAACTCATTGGTAATGGCATTGGGGAAACAACAAAGCCAGTTCTTGCATACCCACCTCTTTCTGCTGCTACCGCCAGAGCATACCTGATTCAGGTAGTAATGGTTTTTCAGCGAGCTGTGTTGCATTTTTAATTTTATTTATAATTTTTCTTGATTTGCAGTATTACTGTTGTCCCATCTCTCCTCCTGGCATTTTGGGAATACAAACATTGTTAAAAAGTAAGAAACAGAATGGAGGATTGGATCCAGTAGAAGGGGTCACAGAAGGATCTTACAGAACAGATCTTTCCCCACCTTCCCCTTGCCCAAGCAGCCTGCCATTTGCCTCAGAACCCCTCTCTGAGGAGCCTTGTAAGCAAAACAGTTCACTGGACAGTCTGCTTCAGCTCCAAGGGGAAATCAGCAAAATTGCCTCTCTGTCTTCTCCACTGATGCAAGCTGTGAGCAGAAGAATAGACAAGAGGCGATGTAGCCTGATTCCCCTTGGCTGCTGTAGCACGCCTTCCTTCAGCACATTTTGTTGACTGCTTGCACTGAGTTCATATGTGTAGTCTTCAGACATCCATATGCAGATATAGATTTTAAGTTTTTATCTTCTGATGATATTTCTTTTCATAAAATGATGCTTTCTTCAAAAACTTAGAAGATTGTCCATGTTTCCCACTATGAAGACTTGTTAGCCGAATTGCTTTATCTACAGCAATTGGCAAATTTTAAACTGGGTGCTTGCCAACTATACCAAGGTCCTGTTCCCACCAAAGGGTTACCAGAGAAGGAGTCGAGGCTGGTGTTGTTAAAATAACTGTCTTTTACTTAAGAATATAAAGCACATACAAACAATACTGATGCGCTCACACATTCAATCAAGCTCCTTAGAAATACAGAATTAAAATAAGCACGTTTGCATTAGCAGGTGGGGGTGATGGTGGGTGATACTTATCTGTCCTGAAGCTTGTTCGTTCCAATGAAGAATGGATGGGAAGAAATAGAACTCTAGGGAAGTTAACACACGACCAGAACCAGTCAGCACATGTGGGTCTCTTGACTGCAGATCAAGAGATCAAAGTAGAGGCAAGGGTTTGGGGATAGCAAGCTGGACAAAAAGGGAGTAAAAAGCAGACAGGGGTTGTTGCAGGGGTTGCTAGCTAGCAAGGGCCAGGTGAATGGTCCTTACCTTTTATAGGTGGTCTTTTGGGTGGGTGGCAACTGTGCCAACCTCTTGACCCACCTACCTATTAGTCTGTCCCCAAAACAATCCCATTGGTTGCGTGTAGTGAGGGGTGGCTACCTAGAGGGTTGGACAGTATTGTAACCTAAGACCTAACTCAAAGGATGGCATCTGGGCAAGTGTGAAAACTTGGCGTCAGGATGCTCCCTTGAAGTGCAGATGAAGCTTGGCCATTCCTCTGGTCATCAAAGGTCCATCTGGCAGGAAATGCCAATGTAGAAATAAAGCAGAGATGTGGAGTGCATGACTACAGACAATTCAGCAATGGGGGCTGCTTCTTCTCAAGTTGTTGTTTTGCTGACAACAATGGAGATGTGTGCTTCCTCACCAGGCTGGTAGCTGTGTAGCTGAAACCTCATTCATATGTTAAGGCTTATGCAGGCACCCTCTATGTGTAGCATCACAACAAGTGACTTGTACAGCTATCTGAGCTTATGTGTGTGTGTGTGCACAGTCCATAGTGTGTGTAGCAGCAAATATAGTTCATAACGCAAATATCAATCTCATTTCTTAACAGACTTCAGTGGATATATCTGCCAAAGCTTCTACCCTGTTTTCCCGAAAATAAGCCCTACCCCGAAAATAAGCCCTACCCCAAAAATAAGCCCTAGCAGGATTTCTATGCATTTGTGGTATAAGCCCTAGTGTGTCTTCTTGAGAAAAAATAAATATAAGACAGTGTCTTATTTTCAGGGAAACACGGTATATTCCTTTTACCTGTTATTCTAAAGTTTTTCAGTTCCTGCTTTTCCTCACTCTGTTTCTAGCTGTTCCTGGTTCCTACATTAATTTGTGTGATCTCTTGCTTCTCTCTTCCATCCTCACACTGACAACTTGATGTATTTTTTCCACTAGCATGTGGGATTTCTTATCTCACATAATCATCCTATTCCCATTCCTGCATTCCAGCAGGATTATGAAGCCTCTTTGAAATCAGTAAGACATACAAAACTGTGTTTCCTCAAGTTGGTAGGGGAGTCCACCTTCAAGGCTGAGAGATGGTACTTTATAGGATGTATTCCCTTTCATTTACATATAACCAAAGAAGTACTGATTATTTTTGTTGATGGTTTAATGACTAACTTTAATTTTGGTTAATGCAACTACAAATATCCACAGAACAAAATATCATAACGTGTTATTTTCTTTTAGTGTGCTTTTCAGATTGAGAACTATACATTATCCAAAAAGGCATTTCAGCCCCTATGGGATTATTTTGTTTCAGCACCTCATTCTCCTGTTGCTGATGCTGAAATTGTTTCTATAAGCAGCAGTTTGACCATATCTCAGTACAGGTAACCAGCAGAGAGGGTTTTAAAATTATGAATAGAGTTATAGGCCTCTTTAAGTACAGAGACTGTATCATATGTATGTAGGCTATATGACAACATTCTAGAAGTGATCAAGGAAATTAACTATTTTTAGGATAATAAAGTCAGCATAGTATTCTTATTTCATTGATTGTATCTTTTTGTAATGTTATTTCCCTGTACCATCTAAGTTGAAAGCTATGGAGTGACTTTATGAGTTTTTGTGATGCCAAATGAACCTTCAGGGTCAGGTGGAAAGAGGGCCTTTTAGTGTAACCACAATCTGCAGCATAGCAGTGAGTCCTTAGCTGGCATCACAGTCCTTGTCAACACTGCTACACTGCCAACAGCTCTCTTCACTAGGTATAGAAATGGATGTAGATAAAGTTTGTGGAGGAGCAAGACTCAGGGATACTTAGGTACCATCTCAAAGGTTATGTGGTACCATAGTACTAGCTAGTTTGATACATCAGATCCATTGTAGTAACCAGTTTTTTACCACCTAAGTATCCAAAACAATGTCTCTGTTGTTGCGGTTGTGACATACTCCAATTACAGAGACAGTAAACATTCTAAATGAGTGTTTAGCTTTTTAAATGAGACATCCTACGAGAGAGACAATGTGATGCAGTAAATATTGTTGGCTTTGGATATAGGAAAAGCAGGTTTAAATCCCTG